CCGCCGCCGCCGCGGAGCCGCTGCCTGACGCGCCCTGACGCACCGGAGCCTCCCGGCCAGGACCCCCGCGCGCCGCCCCGCTAAGCCATTGGTCGCCGCTCCGAAATTATCTTGTCCTCACGGTCTGGCGTCCGCTGGCGAGCCAGGTAACGTTCCTACAGCGCGAACTCCCGGGTCGGAACTTCTGGGCAGCCTGCCGGCCGCGCCCCCCGAGCTGGGGCCCCGCCAGCTGGGTGTCCGGCCCAGTCCTAGCAACTTTTTTTTTTTTTTTTGAAGGCGGAAAGAAAAAAAAATGCTAATACCTGACTATCTTTCGATTCATCCCGGCGATCGCTCATGAAGTGGTCTGGAACGGCATTCACTCCTGTCCACCGCTCTATGCCCCAATGCAAAATATCCCAAAGTGTGCATCCAAAAAGTTTTCTCGTGGAACACTTCAACTGCTAATCCAGGGTCGCCAGCAATGCCCTAAATCCGCTACGCAGACGTTAATTAATAGCGTTTTGAATCAGAAACGTTTTTAACCTTGAAAACGCAGAGAATCCTCTCATGGTTGAAATTGAAACTTAAAATCCTTTGAGTAACGATTTAACTATTCAAGCAACGGAAGAAAAACGCATGTTGAAACTGCATTAACCTGTCACAGGCGTACAAACAAATTTCCACGCTGAAATATAAATTATAGACTAGCAGCAAGATAAACACATTAAAATGGACTCCCACAATTTTAATAATAGAAAGTCACGTTTCCAATTAGGCAACATCTTCTATTTTTCTTTTGACAAAATTTACAAATAAGAAAATGCAGAAAAAGGATATAAATGCCATGATGGTGCTTGGGGGATCTGAAAGCTTTCTTTTTATATTATCCAACATATGTAGGATTTCTCTTTGAGCTCTTCATTGCTTTCATTCCCCCCCCCTTTATTTTTAAAAACATATACAAAAGTAAACAGAATAATTTTTAAAAATAGTCATATCTTGGCTTTTAGATGTACCCAAGCTTTCCCTTTATATGATTGAATGATGTGCATTTTATTTATAATTCTTCAGCACTTTTATTTCTTTTTCAATTTGAGAATTTAAAAACCACATAGACACCAAGAATAATATATGTTCATGCACATACTACCAAAATAATCCCATGTGAGTGTTTGACATGTATGCTTCCGATTTTATGTCTCTAAGAATTAAGCATTACTGATAGGATTGAATGCCACTCAATTTCTCTCCCCTGTATTATTCACCTTTCTCCTTCCTTACTTCCCTAGGTAATCAATATTGGAAAGTGTATATTCTTCCAGCATTAGTTATTATATCTTTATTATATAAACAGGTGTGTATGTATATATAAAGATCTATAATTATATATTTTAATTTTTCTTTATAAATGATACAATACATTTTGCAGCTTGCTTTTTTTCTCAAAATGATTTTGAGAACTATTCATGGTAATAATACCTATAGAATCCAGTTTGTTCATCTCAGCAGTTTTATTATTTTGAAGAAAGTTCCGTTTTAAAACAGATCATTATTATAAAGTTCCTTGTCTCAGAATTTTAGACAGCCAACTTGCAATTAATCTACACCTGTCAAAGAAAATCTCAGAGGTACAATTATTTATTAGCTGCTTTAGTTTTAATTTTATTTTGTAGAACAAAGTAAATATATTTACAATATAAGGGAAATATTACAAGTGCACATGTACCTATCTCATATAATTAATAAAAGTTAACATTTTTGTCATATTTGCATCAGATTTATTTTCTAACAATCCCCCTATTCAGCATTTCTTATAAAATTGAAGTCCCCTTTGTACCCCTCCCCAAATCACTCTCCCCCACTTTCTCTAAAGGCAAACACTATAATGAATTTGGTGTGTAACTTTGAAATCTATGTTTTATATTTTTACTACATACAGATCCATAAAGTGTATAAATAATGCTTTGTATGATTTTTAAAAGTCTATATATTTGGTGTTAGAATGTACATATAATTCTGCAGCTTGTTTTTGTTTTCCTTCACAGTATGTTTGTATTTTTCTCTCCATGTTGATAAACACAGATACACTTCATGCATTTTAATTGTTATATCATGGATGCGTGCATATGATTGTGCCATGTTTATTCATTCCCCTGTTGGCAAACATTTAAGCTGCTGCCAATGTTTTGGTCTTGCAGGCACTGCTAATATGAACCCATGTGTCTGTGCCCCCTTGCACATATGTGAGACTTTCTCTATGCATGTACCTAGATGGGGAATTACTAGGCTGCACACACATTTTCAGTTTAACTACAGACTGCCAGATTATTCGCCAATTTACAGACCCATTAACAGTGTATGAGGGTCTTTATTTACCTCCCATGACCTCCAACACTTTCTAGAGTCAGACTTGCTTCTTCTGCCAATTTGATTTTTTCAAAACCCAGTATCTGCTTGTTGTATTTGACTATCCCACTGTCAGTGACGGTAAGCACTTCTTCATCTATTTATTGACTAGTGAGCTTGCATGGTCTGTGATTAGTTTTTTTTTTTTTCAAAATCATTGCCTACTTTTCCAATGGCCTGTGTATCATTTTTTTTCTTCTTGATTTGTACATGTTCCATACATATAAGCATTAATGTATTTTCTCAGTCCATGTCTCATGCTTTGCTTTTGATGTCTTTTGTACTACAGAAAATTGTAAATGCAGCCATATTCACTCTTTCTAGTTTGTGTCATTCACGTCTTATTAAAGATATCTTTCCATACACCCTTCACGTGTTAAAGTTTTTCTTTCCACACTTGTGAAATTCACCTATCTGGGACTTCTTTTTTGAGTGGTGTAAAGTAAAGTAAGGATTTAATTGTCCTTCCCCCATATGGAAAGCCTGTTGTTCTGACCCGAGATGTGGAATATCCTTCATTTCCCTATTAATGTGACTTGCCACCATGATTGAAAATTAAATTCCATATATTCATGGATATGTTTGTAGTTTGTCCTTTCCCACTGATCTAACCAGTTCTAAGCCCATACCACACTGTGTTAATTACAGTGGCTTTATAAAAAGTCTTGATGTCTGGAAGGATATGGCTCCACTTTGTTCATCTTTAAAATTATGCTGGCTTTTTTTGGACTTCTCCCATTCCATACTAACTTAGGATCAGTTTGTTAGGGCCACTTGAAAGACTTTTTGGAATTTTGCTGAGTTAGATTTATAGATTGAATGTTGGGAGATACGACATCTTTACGGAGCCCTGGTGGCACAACGGGTTAAGCGCTTGGCTGCTCCTGGAAGATTTGGCACTTCAAGCCCACCTAGCCTCTCTGTGGGAGAAAGACTTGGTGATCAGCCTCCATAGAGATTACAGCCAAGAAAACCCTGTGAGGCAGTTCCACTCTGTCATATGGGGTTGCTACAAATTGGAATCAACTCAACACACCCAAACAACAACCACAGTATGACATCTTTGTAAAATTGAGTCATCCAATACATTCATGTTAGTCTGAATTTTTAATATCTTTCAATACATTTTATTGTTTTGTTTACAAAACTCTTAAACCTCTCTTTGTTAGATTTATTTCTAGACACCTTACAACTTTTGTTGCTATTATAAATGTGATCCTTTATCTATTACAAGTTTTAATTGGTTGTTTCTGCTGTTTGGAAATGCTATCGGTTTCAAAATACTTACCTTGTTCTGGCAAACAGGCTGAACTTTCTTAATAGTTCATCTATGTGCAGATTATTTTGTGTTTTTATGTAGATGATCACATTACTGTAAATAATATCCCGATGGCTTTTCTACCTTTCTAATCCCATTGGATTGGCTAGAACTTCCAATAGAACATCAAATAGTAAGGATGAGGACAAACATTGCTTTCCTATTTCTAACTCATCGAAATGCTTCTAATGTGTCATCTTTGTTGACGATGTTTAAGTGTTCAGTAGAAACCCTGTATCGGGTTAAGGTAGTTCCCTTCTATCCCAGTTGTGCTTAAAATGGAAATATTTTACAACTATGCAATGAATATGAAATTTTATTAAATGCTTTTGCTGCAACTCTTGAGTTCATTATATGGTTCTGTCTTTGATATGTTAACATCAAAGAAGTGCAGCCAGAATGCTCCCTTGGAAGCCAGAACGGCCAGACTTCATCTCACCTACTTTGTTCATATCATCAGAAGGGACCAGTCCCTGGAGAAGGATATCATGCTTGGTAAAGTGGAGGGTCAGCAAAAAGGGGGAAGACCCTCAAGGAGATGGATTGACACAGTGGCTACAACATGGGCTCAAGTATGGCAAGGATTGTCAGGATGACACAGAACGGGGCAGTGTTTCATTGTGTTGTACGTAGGGTCTCGCTATGAGTCGGAGCTGACTCTATGGCACCTGACAACAACGACAACATGTTAACATACTGCATGACACTGACAGCTTTTCCTAATGTGAATCTATTCTTGCATTGCTGAGGTAAACTGTATTCAGCCACAATGCACTATATATATATTTTAAATACACTGCCACATCCAATTGGTGAATGCTTTTAAAATGTTATTATCTGTGTTCATAAGTACTATTGGCTGATATTTTTCTTTCCTTTCTCTGCCTTTCTTGAAGCTGGTATCAGGGTTACACTGCCCTCATGAAATGTGTTTGGAAATCCCCCTCTTCTGTATTTTGTCATGGTTTCTATGACATAGGCATTAATCTGTTCCTTGAATGTTGAGTAAAACTCATCTGTGAAGCCATGATATTCAGAAAATTCAACTTATTCAATTCTAATGAGGTTTCCATTTCTTCTTGAGTCAATTTTGGTAATTCACATTTTTTCTAAAAATTTCAATATTACAGGTAAGCCTTCAAAAATTGTGGCATATAGTTTTACATTTCTTCTTGAGTCAGTTTTGGTAATTCACACTTTTCTAAAAATTTCAAAAATTGTGGCATATCGTATCTTAGTATTTTTTCTAAAAAAATCTCTACAGTATGTACAGTTATGTCCTACTTTGTATTCCTGAGAGTATACATTTGTGGATTCTCTCTTTTTCTTTTGTATTTTAACAGACATTTGAGTTTATCACTAATCTTTTTATTGATCATATCTGCTCCCATTAAAATATGTACATTTTTGTTTAATTTCTGTGTTTATTTTGATTAACACCTTACTTTTAGCTTCACTAAGTTTAATGTATTATCACTTTTTAAAAAGTCAAGTTAAATTTTAACTTATTAATTTCCAATTAGTTCTATTTCCTAATGAATAATTTAGGACTATAAGCTTCCCCAGGAGGGAAGTTTCTCTTGCTTTGCCTGTATCCCACAAGCCTTCAAAGCAGTGCTTTTACTACCATTTAGTTCTAAATATCTTATAATTCAACTGTGATTTCTTAAACTGCTAAATTTTTGAATTTTCTCTAGATAATGGAAGCTTTCCTACCAATGGGGCAAGAAAGGTAATAAGCACTTTTGTGTAGGTGATAAGCTAAGGAAAGCTCTGACAGAGCAGGTATATCTGTCTTTAAGACAAGTGGTCCCAGAAACATAAGATAGTTTTCAAGATATTAGGATCTGGAAATACTGTTTTGCTAAGAGAATAGTCTACTACAGTGTTGGCAATTGGTTCTGCATATTTTTTTCTTTCAGCAAATTTGCACTGATGACCTTTTGTGTGTTAGGCATTCTCCTAGGCACAGGGTGAGATCAGTGAACAAAGCAAAGCAAAACTTCCTGCCCTTGTGGAGTTTACATTCTAGTGTAGGTATTTGCTTCTGTCTTCTTAATTTGCAGTTGTGGGCTGATACTGCAAATTATTTTGAAGGTCCTCTTAAATTTTGCAAAAGTAGTGGATATGAAGGACTTGGGGTTGGAACACTAATACTGCTTTGGGTGCTGTTCTAGTGGAAGACACCCAGGTCCTAAGTGCTGGGAAGGACCTCAGATTCCACTCTCAGGCTTCTCTGCCTAAGAATCAGCGGAATTGGAGGAAATGGCAGAGAGGAGATGACTCTGCACAGAGGTTGATTCTCTGGGAAAGGGGAGGGAGTTGTCATGTTGTTTGTAATTGTTGTTTCTTGAGATCAAGGAACTCACTTGCTAATGGGGAGGGGGTCAGTTGTTCAAGCTGGTGAGAAGACAGTCTAGGCCTCTACACTGCAGCTGTTACATCACTGAGCTTTTCTGTAAATGATACACATTATCCAACATTCTCTCAGGAGACAATTGAGAATATGATTGAGGATTATTTGAAATGGGAAATATAATAGGTGTAACTCCCCAGCCTAGTGTATACTATGGCCTTAAAGTAAATATTACTGAATAATAATATCTCTGCTGGGTCCATTCAGAAGCAACATCCAAGAGGCATTCATGAAGGCTGAACTGTCTATCTCTTGGCCATGGAGGGTCAGAAGAGGCACATAGGAGACATTCTAAAAAGGTACATACAATGGATGAATAGGAATAGAGTGACAGGTTAGTATCACTGTTCACTAGTGGTTAGCAATCTGAAACAGACATTGAGCATTCCCAGAAATAGCGCAAACCTGCTTGCATCTCTGCCAGTCTCTTTCCTGCTTTCTGGCAAAGGTCAGTCTAGTCTCAGGAATTCTAGCCCTACTACTATCTCTGGCTTTCTCAGAGTCCATTACAGTATCTCCTCTCTCACCAAATCATCTCTCTTCGCTTCCCTTCGGAGTGTTTGAACCAGCATTCAATAACGGGCTAATGTCTCCAATGAAAAAGTAAGCTCCTTATTCTGTCTTCACTCTCCATTCTCTTCCAGCTGCTGCCATAGAACCAAATTTCCTTTCAAAGTTGAGTTTCTCAAGAGCTGAATGTATTCTTTGTTCCCCGTCCCTTACCCTCATGTACTAGTAAACTCAGTCCGATAGTTAGCCTTCACCTTGCTACAGAAATTCTTGTTGAGGTCAACATTGGCCTCCATATTGCTAATTCCAGTCCTCAGATTGCTAGAATATTTAGAGCAGCTGAACTCTCCATGAAACACTCTTTTCTTTCAGCTTCCACGATTCCTGTCTTTTGGGCTTCCTTGGGTTTCCCTGAGCGCACCTTTTCGGTCTTTGTTATCCATTTATCCTGTTTGGCCAACCTCTACATTTTAAATCATAAAACCTCTACATTTTAAAATTCTGCAGAACTCTATCCTAGGCTACTTTCTCTTAGTTTTATCCACCTGCTCTAGATAGTTGCAACAATTTCCATGACTTAAACACACCTATAAACAAACAACTCAAAAAATCACAATCTTTAGCCCAGCTCTCTCTCCCAAAGATGTCAGGTAGTCTTAAATCCATCTGACTGCTTGGTAATCCATGCAATTTGAGAGCTGCCCACCCCTCACAGATATCTCCAACTTAATGTGTTCAAAAGCTGTTATCCCTAAATTTGCTCCTATTCCATTCTTCCTCTTGTCAATAAATAGCTCTTCTATCCATTCTATCCTTCAAGCCAGAAAACGGGGGTCATTCCTGACCCCTCCCTCTCCATTAGTCCCTGCATTTAATTTATCTTTGTTGTTGTTGTTGTTATTTGCCATCGAGTCGGCCCCGACTCATAGCGACCCCTCCTTGGGTTTCCGAGGCAGTATCACTACGGAAGTAGGATTGCCCAACCTTCCTTCCGAGTTTGGTTAATTCTACCTTCAAAACATGTCTTGACCATTCACTTTTCTCAGTCTCCTTGCCAACTCTCGAACCCAACTGCCATCATCTTTTGGTCAGACTACTCTAATGATAATAAAAACAATAATTGCAAAATGGTAATAACAAAAATCCCCGTAACTGGACCAGTAAACCACATCATGATAACAGAGAAAAGACCGAAGCTGTCAAGGATTTCATTTTACAATTATCCACAATCAATGCCCATGGAAATAGCAATTAAGAAATTAAATGATGTATTGAGAAAATGTACTGCAAATGACCTAAAAGTGTTCAAAAGCAAAGATACCACTTTGTTTGTTTGTTTAATTGTGCTTTGGGTGCAAATTTACAAAGCAGATTTGTTTTACATTCAATAGTTCATGCACGTTTAAGGTGTGGCTGACCCAAGCCATGATATTTTCAATCTCCTCATATACACGTGAAAGCAGAACAGTGAATAATGAAGACTGAACAAGAATTGATGCCTTTGAATTACGGTGTTGGCAAAGAATACTGAATATACAACGAACAAATCTGTCTTGGAAAAAGTGCAGCCAGAATGCTTCTTAGAAATGAGAATGGCAAGACTTTGTCTCATGTCCTTTGGGCACGTTATCAGGAGGGACCAGACCCTGGAGAAGGACATCACACTTGGTAAATAGAGGGTCAGTGAAAAAGAGGAAGACCCTCAAGGAGATGGATTGACACAGTGGCTGCAACAATAGGATCAAATTTGGCAATGATTGTAAGGATTGTGCAGTACCTGGCAGTGTTTCTACATAGTGTTGTACATGGGGTCACTATAAGTCAGAACCCACTCGATGGCACCTAACAGTCACAATAATAAGCAGCTGTAGAGTCAGTTCAAACTTTGGATGACTAAATGTGTGTCCGTAAGGTTTTCAGTGGCTGATTTTTTAGAAGTAGACGCCAGGCCTTTCCAAGCACCTCTGGATGGATTTGAACCTCCGGCCTTCCAGTCAGCAGCCGAGCACGTTAGTGTTTGCGCCACGGGGAAGCCGCTGTAATAATGGATCCCCTTAAATGGCTCCTCCGCTTTCATTCTTGCCCCATATCGGTTGGTCTCTCCTCCTTTAGCTTCTAAGTGGTAAAAGTTATCAACAGTTTCCCAACCAAACAAGAGAAGATCCAAAACAAAAGCTTCCCATCACGGTTAAGGTAAGATAGACTGGTCAACATTGATGTGGCTCTGCCTGCCCCTCTGTCTTATCCCCCACCACACTCACCCTGCTTCAGCTACACGGGCCTTTGAAAACACCAGGTGCTCAAATCCAGAACCCGTGTGTGTGTCTTTTCCTCTAGACTGCTCTTTCCTTCATTCTTGACCTGAATAACTCCAATCCAGCTTTTATTCTAAAATAAATGTCACTTCCTCAGAGAAGCCTGGTACCTCCCGGGTAAACTGTGTCCCTTCTGTTACACTATCATTCATTCATTTAACAAATATTTATTAGGAACCTGTTCTGCACCTGGCATGGTCTGAAGCAGTGGAGATAGGCAGCCCATAAAACAGTCCCTACACCCATGGGTTTCACATTCGCAGGTCGGGGGAGACTGATGACAAGCAAATAAGTAAGCGAACACATAATATTCAGATCGTGATAAGTGCTATGGAGAACAATAAAGCAGGGTAAGTGAGATGGTGAGTTATGAAAGGGGATGTTTTGTGTAGGGTTTGCCAAGCAGGACCATTCTGATGAGGAGAACTTGAGGGAGTGACGCTTGCAGAAACCTGAGAGAGAAAGGAACAGAAAGTTCAGAAGTCACGAGTGTGGTTGGCATATTGGGGCCTTACGTAGTTTAGAGGTTTGTGTTACTTTTTTATGGTAACTCTAACACATTACCACAGACTTAGTGCCTTAAAATAACAACAGCAAAAACCATTCTCTTACAGTTCTGGAGGTCAGAAGTCCAAGTTAGGTACATGGTCAGCATGTCCTTGACCTTTACCAGCTTCTGGAGCCCATCTGCATTCCTTGGCTCTTGGACACCTTCCTCCATCTTCATTGTGATTATGTTGGGCCCACAGATAACCCAGGATTAATCCCTATCTCAAGGTTAGCTGATCTGCGACTTAATCCCATCTGCAACCTTAATTCCTCTTTGCCATGTAAAGTGATATATTCTCAGTTTCTGGAGTTAGGAAGTAAATATTTTTGGGGACCCATTATTTTGCCTACCACGAGATTGAAGCAAAGTAAGCTAAGGGAAGTCTGGTAAGAAATGAATGAGTCCAGATATATTGATGTTGGCAGAATAGGCTGCAGGTCATGTAGGGCCTTGAGCCTTTGTAAGGAGTGAGGTGGGAAGGATTTGGATGGGTTTTGAGCTGAGGAATGACATGATCTGAATGAGTTTCTTTTTAGAGGTTCCCTCTGGTTAGTGTGTGGTGAACAGATGATAGAGGGTGCAGGAATGAAGCAGGAGAGTGGTGCGGAAGCTGTTGAGAAATCCATGGAAATCATGAAGTGGTTTAGTCTAAAGTGGTAGGAGTGGGAGCGGTGAGATGTGGTCAGGTTCTGGATGTCTTTGATGTTAGCATGAGGAGGATTCCCTGATGTCTTGGACTAACGGTATAAGAGGAGAGGATTCAAGGATAAAACCAACGATTTCAGCCCAGGAACTGGAAGTATCTCTTCTATTCTGAGAGGGGAATACTTGAGGAGTAGCAGGATCTGGGAGGTAGGAATTGGGAGCTTGGATTTGGAAAGCTTGAGATGATTTTTAGACACCCAAGCAGAGCTGCCAAATAGACAATTGGGCTGACAAAGACCAAGAGGTGGCCATTCAAACAGAACAAGGGGATATGCATGGGTTAAAATCAGGGAAGGCGTGTGTCAGGGCTGTATTCTTTCACCAAATTTACTCAATCTGTATGCTGAGCAAGTAATCTGAGAAGCCAGACTATATGAAAAAGAACACGGCATCAGGATTAGAAAAAGATTCATTAGCAACCTACAATATGCACATGACACAACCTTGCCTGCTGAAAGTGAAGACTTGAAGCACTTACTGATGAAGATCAAAGATTACAGCCTTCAGTATGGATTACATCTCAACATAAAGAAATCAGAAGTTCTCACAACTGGACCAATAAGTAACATCTTTATAAGTGGAGAAAAGATTGAAATTGTCAAGGATTTTATTTTACTTGAATCCACAACCAACACCCATGGACGCAGTAGTCAGGAAATCAAATGACTTACTGCATTGGGCAAATCTGCTCCAAATGACCTCTTTCAAGTGTTAAAGAGCAAAGATGTCACTTTGAAGATTACGGGGCACCTGATCTAAGCCATTGTCTTTTCAGTAGCCTCATATGTATGTGGAAGCTGGACAACAAACGGAAGACTTGATGCATTTGAACTGTGGTGTAGATGAAAGAATACTGAGTATACCAAGGACTGCTGGAAGAATGAGCAAATCTGCCTTGGAGAAAGTACAGCCTGGACGCTCCTTAGAAGCAAGAATGTCCAGATCCAGACTTCATTTCTCGTACTTTGGTCATGTTATCAGGAGGGACCAGTACCTGGAGAAGGGTCTCATGCTTGGTAAAGTAGAAGGTCAGTGGAAAGGGAGAAGCTCCTTAAGGAGATGAATTGACACATGGCTGCAATGTTGGGCTTAAGCATAGTGATGACTGTGAGGATGGTTCAGGCCTGGACAATGTCTCCTTCTGCTGGCCATAGGGTTACTATGAGTTGAAACTGACTCCATGGCACCTAACAACAACATTTCTGGAAAACAAAAATTATAACTCTTGGTAGAGTTTCACAAAATGCCATATGTAATCATTTGTTTACTAATTTTTTAGTATAATGATAAGACATTATTTGCACACCATTAAAACTCATACTGCTGAGGGTCTTCCCCATTTTCACTCACCCTCTACTTTACCAAGCACGACATCCAAGGACTGGTCCCTCCTGATAACGTGACCAGAGCACACGAGATGAAGTCTGGCCATTCTTTCTTCTCAGGAGCATTCTGGCTGGACTTCTTCCGAGTACGCCAATTGACAACTTCCTGTTTTCCTGGATTCATACTTTTTACATTCTACATTCCAATTATTAATGAATATTTGCAGCTATTTCTTCTTATTTTGAGTCTTGCCACATCAGCAAATGAAGATTCTGAAAGTTTTACTCCATCCACATCATTAAGGTTAGTTGTACTCTGAGGAGACAGCTTTTCTCCAGTCATATCTTGAGTGCCTTCCAACCTAATGGGCTCATCCTTCAGCACTATAACAGATAATGTT